CCTGTCTACAGTGTGGCCAGGAGGAACTAATCCGCCATCTGTGTTCAGCCTCACCCAAGATGTTCCTGGAACCTAGACCTCGAAACTTCACTGAAAGCCCATCCACTCAGACACCCAACCAGGCAACAAGAGCAGGTTTCTCCCAAGGAGGCAGTTGGGGGGGGGGGGGGAGGCGAGGGAGAGGGCACAGTACACAGTCCGATGGAAATAAGCCACACAAGGGGGTGGGAAGCCAGATCCAGAATGAACATCCATCAATGGTCTTGACGTCTTATTTCCCAGACTTCCCAGTGAGCTAGTGAACACCCTTCCTGGCTACAGGCCTGTGAGGGCACAGGCCTCCTCACAGCCAGGACTGGCTGCCGAGGAGCTGGAGAAGGGGGGAAGGCGGCATGGGGTAACATTAGCTTCCTGAGCTATCGTCTCATACTCGCAAACACAAGGGTCTCTCAAACTCAAAACCCCAACGCATGAGACTTCACTCCCGCCCTCTTACCCATGTGACTTCCCTGACTCGATGTATTTTAAGCTTGGGGTCATGAACCAGGAGGTTGTGGAATCAACTCCCTGTTACCACCAGTTTTTTTTTTTTTTTTTTTAGCATGCTACACTGCAGTAGTAACTCACAAGGAGTTCAGACAATGCTAGGGTCTGAAGCTTTAGCTTTGGGTCCTGATGGAAAGTATCTCTTATGAGGGTCACAGCCCAGGAGAGCCATAAAAGTAGCTGCCAAAACCCTCCAAGCCTGGAGGCACACCAATCCTGAGCCTGAGTACCCTTAGACACTCCCCTTACACCGCCCTATAAGATCTCTATGCAGACACTTCGAGCTGTCTTTCTAGCCATCCGCCATGGTGGGTGGATGGATGGAAGGCCCGAGCTAACATGGGGTTAGCTCGTTAAACAACTATAATAAAGCCTCATGCTGTTTGCATCAAGGAGGAAAAAAAAAAGTAGCTGCCAAAATTGTACACACAAATTTACAGTACTGCAGAAAATAGAGTCTTGCAAAGTTAGGCTCTCAGCTCCCACAATTCAGCTCAGGGGATCCTCTTCTGACCTCCAAGGGCTCCTTCCCACAACTAGTGCACATTACATACACACACATTTTGTTGGTGGTGGTTTGGTTTTGTTTCCTAGACAAAGTTTCCCTGTGTAGCCCCATCTGTCCTGGAACTCACTCTGTAGACCAGGCTGGCCTTGAACTCACACAAATCCACCTGCCTCCGCCTCGGGAGTGCTGGGATCAAAGGCATGGGCAACCACACCCTCACCCCACCCCCAGCACAACTCAGCTGTCACATCCAGTTCATAATTTCTAACTATTCCCCTAACTACAGAACCAGACTCCAGGAAGGGGGGAAAGAAAATCCTCAGAAAACTCCAACCATCAGGTGTGCCACCATCCTCACCAAGGACCACAGAAGCACGGTCAACCGTGGCTGCCGACCCATCTCGTATTTGCTCCTCTCTTCGGCAAATACGATCTGAAGGAAAATGGTGCATAACCTCTGCCAAGGTAACAACAAAACAGCAGCAGAGAGTGGTGAACGGTTGCTGTCTGGAGGGCGTGAAAGAACGGGACTCCAGTCATTTATCTGCCACCCAATACCCTGTCTTACCTTGGTCCATTCAATCCCTTCCTCGTGACTCACATAGCTATAAAACAGTATAAATAATATCTCTTCCTGCAACAGGAATAATCAGCAGATACAAAATGATTAGCAAGTTAAATAGTCTTAGCCTGGCGTTGGTGGCGCACGCCTTTAATCCCAGCATGCGGGAGGCAGAGGCAGGCGGATCTCTGAGTTCGAGGCCAGCCTGGTCTCCAGAGCGAGTGCCAGGATAGGCTCCAAAGCTCCACAGAGAAACCCGTTTTGGGGGGGGGGGGGGTGTCTCTCATACTGCACCATTCCTGCTCTTTGGCCTTGTTAAACTTTGTTTTTGTTTTGTTTTTTTGAGACAGGGTCTCACTATGTAGCCTGGGTTGGCCTGGAACTCAGTAATGTAAACCAGACTGGCCTTAAACTGACAGAGATCCACCTGCTTCTGCCTTCCAAGTGTTGGGATTATAGACAGCCACTACCACAGCCAGCCTGACAAAAATTTTAATCCCATCTTCTAACTCCTAGCCAGGAGGTGAGGGGAGGCCGGCCAGGTGTGCCTTTAACATAATCCTCCAAGCAGCTCCTAGGGAGGCTGCTGCAGCTGCTGACTCCAAGTTGAAAATAAACTTGCTTGTTTTTCTCTTCTGGGAGGAAGGGAAAGGAAGGAATGCCCTCCTCCAATAATATACCAACAATTTATCAAAGATGTAAGCAAGGGCAGGAATGGCTGTGGGAAGCCACCAGCCACTTTCCCTCCTCTACGGAACCAGGACTGACAAAATATAATAGTAATAATAATAAATCTACTAGAAAAGTTACTATATTTGTACTGAAAAGCAAAATTAAAACAGCTCCCTTTTGGGACGGGGACGGGGGAGGGGGAGGGGTTTTAGCCAGTTCTTTAAAAAACAAAAAGGAAGGAGCTGACTTCAGAGCACTGTGCCTGGAGTAAGTTACCTCTTCAAACCATTTCTTTTACAAAGCCGGGGTTGGTGGGCATCCCAGGTGGATCCCGGTAAGACAATGTAATAGCCAGAAAAAGGAAACACTAAAGAAACAGGTTTTTAATGTCCCAAGAGGTCCTTCTTGCTTTTCTGCTAAGAAACTGTCTCTCATCCAGTTCGCCCTGACATCTTGCCTCTAAATTCAAACGAAAGCAGAGCCAGCTGTAAGAGGCCACAGCTGACTTTTAACTGTGGCCAGCAGCATCAGGTAAGAATCCGGATACTTTTCAGAACACCTTTCCAGGCACACTCTTAATTCCAACTTTATTATCCCTAAAAAATAAAAATGGTGCAAGTTCTAGTGGCCACTTGCACTTGCACTAAAGTGGTAACTTGGAGTTTTCTAGCGTTCAAGCTTGGACAACGAAATCCAATTTTCTTCTCCTGGTATGGGAAAAAAAACAAAACAAAACAAAATGGTGATGGAGGTGAGGGGGGCAAAAAATACCCTCGGAAGAGGCAGGCAGGACCAAGGAGGCCTGGGCTCTGCAGCTCAACTCTGTAGCTAGAGAAAAGGCGCCTGTTGCATCTATAAGTTGATAATCTTCAATATTTGGGGTTGTAGCAAGAGTCCTCCCTTCACTCGCTTGGGAAAGCAAAACTTTGACGGGTCTGGCGGTCTTCATACGCAGTCATTTTGTCGGCGTTTGTGGCGCTTGCAAACTTTACAAGAAAGAACAGACTACTGATTGTTTTTCAAAGGACTGAGAACAGTCCTCAAAGGCAGAAAAAAAAAAGTCCGTGCATTCATATAAATGTGAAATTAACTCCCCTCCAAAGAAAAAGTCACGGGCAGGCACAGAAGGCACAGACTCGGGACCGAAAGCCGGCGAGCCAACCGCTCCTGTGGACGCCGCCACGGGTCTCAAAGTGAAAGTCCAGCGGCGGCGGAGCGCTGGCACCGGAGGTGTGGATTCCGCCTGCCCGGTTTGCAGCCTCGCACTTTCCGCACCAGAACCACAGGCTCCGGAGCGAGGCTACACCTACTGCACCCAGCTCTGCGGCCCGCC